GGCGACACGTCCGGGTTGGCAGTATTGTAACTGTATGACCCAGCTATTCTAGCGGACGCGCCTCTTTGTGGCGCATACACACATAGGGCAATCGATCAGCCAGGCAACGACCCACACGAAGGGTAGAGTAGCATGTGGATTGGGGGTCATTCTCCGCCTTAATGCCTCAAGGACACGGTTCGACAGGAGTGAGATAAACGGAAGATCCTTTCGGACATGCATGTCTACTCAATGAGGTCACAAGACCGGACAGCGAGAGCTGGTTGGAGACAGTGGTATTGAGCAAAGGAAGGATCCGGAGAGCAAAGTACAAATTACCTTCTGATACAGTACATGGTAACTAGTATACATGAATAAAACTGCTCATAGGGTGTTCAGCACGCAGCACCACTCATTCAGGCTATGAACGACTCACAAAAAGTCCAATAGGCAATCTACGACCGATAATCTGTCGCATCCTGCAGCCTCCATCGCTGTAGCGGGCCCCACCACCACATCGAGGACGGCCGATGACTATCCTCGTCGGGCGTCATCGCCGTCCGCGTGTTCGAGATCGCTGTTCGCGCGACCCACCTCCTCGCGCGGATCTCGCCCTCTCCCTCTCCTCGTGTCATGTCGGACGATGGTGCCGGCGTAGCTTCACTAGGCCACGGTTTTCGCTGATCATCCTCGTCCGACTCGAACTCGTCCATCTCGTATTCCCCCGGGGGATTGGGGCGCTCGTTCTGCCTCCGCTCATGTCTCCGAATCCCGAAGCTCCCGAGCCCCCACCCAAACGCCGCACGACCGCCCTCCTGCGCATCAGGGCCATACGCCTGATTGATCCGCTCTACGCGCTCGACCGCCTGCTCACGCGCCGCAGCGAGGTGTGCGTGTCGGAGGCCGAGGTACCACCCGTACACATATCGACCCGCGCGGTGTTGGTTGAGGAACCGTGAGACGTATCCGCTGCTCGTCGTCCCTGAGCGTGAGCTCGCGTCCGTCTGTCTCGATGTAACCCGCCGGACACTATCGCCCCCGACCGTCGTCTCGTCCCCAGAAGTGCGCTGTCTTCGTCCTTGACCATCGCCTTCTTCACAACTGAACGTGCTGTCGGAGGAACTGCCGCCATCGGACTGCGGCTGCGGCTGCTGGCTCTCCTGGCGTCCGGTGTAGAAGACATGCGTGACACCCTTCCAAAGAGTCTGCGCGCGCTCTTTCCGGACCTTGCGCTTAGCCATCTTCGCGCGTCGTTTTTCCCTGCGCTTTTCCTCGCGCCTAAGCAGCTCCTCAATCGCACCCACGCCCATCCCCGCCCCGACCCACCACCACCACCCGAGGAAGCTTTGCCAGAGGAAGACGGCCCACATGAGACCCGGCATCCAAGCGTACTGATCGCGGCTCGGGATGTAGAAAAATGTGAGCGCGGTCGAGATGAGGGCGAGAGTGATCGCCCCGGCCCCAAACGCCGCTGTGCCTCCATCCGTGCGCCATGCATCGCGGCGGTTGATGACGCAGCCCCAGAGAACGAGCGCGGAGGTGAAGAGGAGGGTGAGGGTCGCATTGCAGATGTTTTGCACGGCGGAGGCGCCTTTGACGAGCTGTGCGTCGTTGGAGATCCGGAGGACGTGCATGATCGAGGAGACGATGGCGAGGGGACCGAGGAGGCAGTATATGAGGCGTCGTTCGAGACCAGATGGGAAGAGAAGTGTCAGAAACTGTATGTGTGTGATCTGTTGACAGATGAACTATTAGGATGTAGACGTAAATTGTGAGCAACGCACCTGAATCAAGCCGGACACCGTTGCGTTCATCAAGAGCCACGCAACGAGTTCACCCATGACCCAATCTGAATTCTCCTCTGTCAAGGGAGGTAACTCGACCGCGATATAGTCGAGCATATATGGCCATGTCATACTCTGGCTGACGGTGCTTGAGAGTACGACATGCAAAGTCGCAATACAAGAAATCAGTAAAGTGGTGACGGCTGACATCTGGAGGATACAGTTGACAGGGGCGAGCGGCCAATGATATTGCGCGGTGAAAATGAGGTGAATGATGAGGACGGCGGTAAGGGTGAGGGTAATCCCGAGGAGGAGAATTTGAATAGGCAATGAACGCGCGAAGTTCGGTCGGTGTGCGAGGACGGGGTCATAAGGGTAACTCCTGTGAACAGAGCTCGTGAGCCATTCTGGGGCTGCTACAACGACATGTTGGCATGATTAAATCAAGTGGCTCGCTAGAGTTCATGAAGGGATAATACGCCTCGCACTTGACATGCATGCAAACACATGGCGGTGTAGGGATCAATGTCACCAATTCGCGAACCATCCCGGGTTGTCCACGCTCAATACCATCTACACGCACGTCGTGTAGATGGGGGAATAGTATCCGAGCAAGGGCCACATGATTACATCCGCCTTGCACACATCCTATTTTTTTGGCGGATATTGCTTGCGAGATATGCTAGGTCAGACTGGAAAGGGAAAGGCACATCCCCGTAGTCCGTTCGTCACCTTTCTACTGTGCGCATAAATGGGCCACGCTCACGGATGTAGGTACAGACCCGGGAAATGTCCACACAGCGGCTGTATGCGCCCAACGTTTGCGTAGGAGACCAGACAGATACTCCGCACGGGGGTCCGGGCAGCCGAGATGTGTCGACACCGCACTTCATCACGACGAACAAGCACGAAGACGAACGTACCCGTCATTCGTTGAATTCGTTGCATTGCTGCTGACATTCTGACCCAACGCAGTCGACACCAAAGTGAGCAGCACATATAGTACAGTCCGGTAATCCATTGAAGAGGTTGGTCGCCTGATAACAATCGCCTAGAAGAGTTGTTCTCGGAGTCGTGTCGCCAAGCAAGCCGTCAGGTCATAGAAGGATCTTACGAGTCGTCGAAAGAGAATGAGGACGTTGAAGAGAGACCAGGAGACAGGAAGAAGGGGATGACCCTTACAGCTGGTTTCAGCTCGATTGTCGTTTGAGCGCCGCGCCGCGCCGCGCCTCGCGCATTTGCCCGTTTTCCCCCTCCTAAGCGCCCCAAGGAAACTTGAGACGACGATATCTCCTCGACTGCTCAACATATTCATCTCTTTCTTGCATATTCTGACTCAGGAATGCGACGCGCAGGGCACGGTGCTGGAATCAAGGTGGCCGCTCGTATATCGGACGTTCCACTCGCCTGCGGTCGATTTCACGCCGTCTTCTGCATCTGTCGCGCATATATCCTTGGACAACCCATGGAGATACCCAGAAGGCTCATTGGAAGCTGTTAGTGGATGTTACTTACGGAGGGCATATGGTGCAGAAGAGGCCGGTGATGTACGTATTCTATATTCTGCGAAGGACTCTGGTGCATGTCGAGTATACCGCTCTGTTGTTTTGGACAATGATTATTGTCCAGGAGCTCGCGCTCCTCGAGCTTTCGTTTTTTGCCTGCTGGACCACGTCGTTCACGGTGTTGCCCAATGGGGACCACCAGCTCCTTTCTTCGGCGATCCGCTCGCCACTCCTCCGGGCAGCTCGCTGCGCCCTCTCGTCGTTCCGCCCGCCCTCCGGGGTCTCTTACGCGGTGATCCGCTCACTGCTTCCTTCTCAACCCGGCCCCCCGCTCGGCCGCATCATGCTCACTCCATCCCTTCTCCTCGGGCCGGCCCGCCCGCCCTCGATGGATCCGCTCGCCATCACTCCTCCTTTGGGCCCGGGCGCCGGTGCCGGCCCCCGTTTGGGTGCAATCACTTCCCTTTGGGCCGATCCTCACGCTCAGCCTCCCGAGCCTCCGGCTCTCCGCTTCACTCTCCTTCCTGGCTTGAGCTCGGCCCACCGGTCGCGCGAGAGAGCGGTGGCGACACGGACTCGGTCGTCCCGCGCAGCGAGTATAGCGTGCATAGATGTATATCGTCAAATCCAACACTTTTTTTGCTACGAAACATCTGAAATGTGCCCACTGCATGCCTACGAACTGTTACAATCGTACAAATTGCCAATCGTAGTGTTCTACAAGTTCTCCTTTGCAGCTCCAATCTACCCACCTCGCCTGTTCCTCCCTCCTAGTACATGACCCCAAATGCCTTGCAAGACCATATACACTATGGAGGGGCAGAACACTCACACATTCATGATGTCTGGTGCCTCCCGATGAAGAGTACGAGCTGGCCCAAGAGGGCTGCCACCCAAGCCCACCCTATGGTGGACGTGATTGTTGCAGGACACGCCGCCTTTTGACCTAGAGGCCTCGATAGCATCTTGTCTTCGCCATTCCGATGATTTCCGGAAGAGTACATCATACTATTCAGCCAACAGCGCTGTTTGAGTCCAGCAGGGAATGCCCAGAAGTCAATGACATCGTATTGGCGCAATTTGGATACCATACCATGCCCTGCGCGTCGCATGCCTGAACCAAGCTATGGTGGCAACATTGAGCAGTCGAGGAGATGTTCCTTTGGGGGCGCTTAGGAGGGGAAAACAGGCAAATGCGCGAGAAGGGGTGCTCAATTCTTGTCGGTCGCTCAGTTGCTCGCGCGCCTATTGGGCGCCTGCCTAGCTGCATTCAAGGTCAGCTCAAGCGTCTGCAGCACAGCGAGCAGAGACACGCAGGCAGCGGGCGCAGAGAGATCGACAAGATCGTCTCATACTAGGTTTGTTAGGCCCGGGAAATCAGCCCAGCAAGTGAATGGTGACGTCGGGAGAGCTTATAAACTCGTTGACCTGGACTTATTGTACACAATGCGCCCAAGTCGGAAACAGAATCAGCACGACATATATATGGTTCAGCTGAGGGTGCCGCTCTGGGCTCGATGGCAACTGGACTCAAACCTTGTGAGGCGACTCCATATCTCGAGACAAGCAACTTTATAGCTTCTGAATTGTCAAATCCTCGCGTCGCTCTCTAGTCCCAGCTCGGGGGCATCATGCGGTCGTGTTGCACCTGC